GAGCCGGTGCCGGGAACTGGCATCACTTTCCAGCCAAGAAGCTCTCTGGGTCCTCGAGTGGAGGGGCTGCTGCCGAGACCGCTGCCACCGCCTCCTCATGCGCCCCCTCCTCCCCCTCACCTGCCTGCCTCTGCCGCTGGGCCTGGGCGGGGAAGGGAGAAGGAAGGGGGAGGAGCCCCCCCATGCACGCACCCCCAAGAGGGAAGGAGGGAGTGGGGAGGGAGGTGTCAGGCCTGCCTGCTCCGAGCCATGTGAGATGCCCTTCCGGGCTAGCTCTCCCTCAGCTGGGCGGGCCGGCTCCTGTCGTCCATTTTGAGGGAGGCGGAAATGCCACCGAATCCAGGCTGGCATTTGGCGGCCTTGCGGCCCGCTCCACCGCCGTGGCTGCCTGGGAGGAAGGCCACCCGTTTGGCCGCACTGGTTTGAATCCCAGTGGTTTGATTGAAAGGTGACTAACGAACATTAAGTAACCACATGAAGATGATAAGTCCACGAAGCATAGAGGAAAAAAAGGATACAAAAAGTGCAAACATGCTTAATACTCCTTTTTCTTATTTTCCTCAGAACCACAATCCTCTGAGGTGGGCTGAGCTGTGAGAGAGAGAGTAACTGGCCTAAAGTCACCCAGCTGGTTTTTCATACCTAAGGCAGGACTAGAATTCGCCATTTCCTGCTTTTTAGCCTGATGCCTTCACTACCAAACCAAAGTGGCTATTTTTCAATTCAATAATTGATTTTAATTCAATATGTTTTCAATATCAAGTGTAGTTTGAAGGCTCCACTTTTAAATTGTTTCTGCCTTCTTTTCCTGTGTGGTTCTGGGCACTACAGCACAGAGTTTACCAGAAATGCTTTATATTATGAACTATCATATAATACCTTCTTTATACAGTTAGGATTGCATAACAATCACTTAGTGGTAGTGATTGGGGATTTTTTCCCCCTTTCCATAAATCATGGGCTGTCCATATGTAGTCAATTTAAGAGTGAGAAGTGAATGGTTCAGCTCCATTTCAGGGGCTTAAAATCATTGACAATGGATTGTGTAATTAGAAATAAATATTTCACAATATATAATTACATATTGTTTTTGTGATTAATCACTATGCTTTAATTATGTTCAATTTGTAACAATGAAAATACATCCTGCATACCAGATATTTACATTACGATTCATAACAGTAGCAAAATTACAGTTATGAAGTAGCAATGAAAATAATTTTATGGTTGGGGGTCACCACAACATGAGGAATTGTATTAAAGAGTTGCAGCATTAGGAAGGTTGAGAACCACTGCTCTAAGGGGTCTACCAGCAGGGGAAACTCGATTGGCAAAGGGACGAGGCCCTTCGCTCGACCGCACCGCCACGAAACCGGAACCAGAAGCCACTATTGCTATTTTTGATACCTAGTGAACCCTTTTAAGAATGGCTAGTAAAATTTAAGTGGAGTAAAATAGGCAGTAAATTAAAAGCCCAATAGTAGTGAGAAATTACTAATTCAGAAATTTTAAACAGAAACAGTAAGTTCAGTGGGATTTATCTCTCAACCAGAATAAGATTGCAGCTTTAAACACTAAAACAAATGATATATTACAACAACAGAGAAAAAAGTTCAAAGAAATACAAAAAGGGGAAAAAATTTACACATTATGCCAGCAATGTAAATCTATAATTAATGTCATATATGCTCCTTCTTTTATTGTTCTGCTATTGCTCTGGATTTATTTTGTTGTAATTTACTTTCCATGTGATCATACAACAAATAGCTTTGGAATGCTACTGAGAAACTTCACTGACATTTCTGCTTTGTAATTTTCCTGGAAATAAAAATAGAAAAATAGAAAATAGAAATAGTTCAGGAAATTTATTCATACTTTTTTCCTTTCAGGAATACGTTCAGTTGATGAGCTGCCAAATTAATAATGATTTTGTTTTTGTAATCTTAAAAATCCTCATGAGGAACTACACAACACCAAAATAGCAACAATTAATTTTAACAAGGAATTTTGGCATATTTGAATATAAATAAAAACAGCCAAAATGTATTATCAGCAAACACTACTACAATATGAAGGCATGGTAAATAACATATTTTGAAATTACATTTGTACGCAATATTATTTTAAAATAGCACTTACAAAGCATTATTGAAATAACAAGATATGTTGCAATAAAACTGAAATTACTAACAAGGGAACACATCCTGCAATTTTATAAATAATACAGAACAGAAGTTTGGAAACAAGTAATATAACTTCAAAAGTATGGACTAACTGTTACAACATTGTTCTTACAAAGTATGTGTTCTTTCTGAACTATCAAACTCATGTTTATTGCATCTCCAAAGAGTGAAAAGTCATATTTGGAAGAATCAGATAAAAGAGGATCCTTACGTTCTCAAATATGAACACTAATAAGGGAGGATATTTGCAGCTCAGGGTTGATATGAGGGGTCCTTGGCGCTCTCTGAGCTTAATTGTTTTTTTGCAGACGTTTCATTACCCAAACTAGGTAACATCATCAGTGCTAGACCTAGCTTGGGTAATGAAATGTTTGCAAGGAAACAACCAAGCTCAGAGAGCACCATGGACCCCTCAATATGAATACTGTACAAAATAAAGAATTGCACTGAAAAATTAAAATGGTTTCAAATGATGTTTGAGCTATCCATTTATATGATTCTTACTGAGCTCAAAACAACTTTGTTCTGAATATACTTTACTCAATCCATAGGAAAACAGAAGAAAGTGCTCCCCATATCCACAACTAGCCTGACTTCTTACTACAACATAAATTGCTTATGCTTCAAGAAACATGTAACTTGCACAGGATAAAAAGATTGGGCAGAAATGTTTATCAAAGTACACTTGCAAATGATTGTGCTGTAAAAAAACACTATCAGAAGCATATTCCAGTGATTTTTATCTGCTTCATTTGACAAAATATATGTCATAAGAACAGAAAGTATTCAAATGTCACAGAATGAAATGGGATTTCTGTCTCTTTCAGAGCTCTCATTCAGAGCTCTTCAGAGAAGGCCATGGTCTTTGAAATGTTAGCAATGTTAGCAAAAATGATAACATTCATTTTAGTTCTATCCTAATGGGATTAGTGTTATCTGAAATGCAATTTGTATAATTAAGATTATACTAAATATAAATTCATCAGAATAGTTTTTGAATTACATACAAACTTGTATTCAGTTTATTCATACTGTCAATTTTTTACTTCCTAAACTAAGAGGAAAAATGTGTTTAGATTGTTTTTCCTAATCTGGGCATCTTCTGGTTTTATGAATTTAAATTCTCAGAATTCTGTAGCAAAATAACAATTGCTGAGCATTCTAAGTCTTGAAGTCCACACATCTGCAGTGTACCCAAATCAAACAAGGATGTTCTGGACCAAAAAAGCTCTATCTTTGTATGATAAAATTACCTCAGCTATTTGAGTAAGCAAAGAGGTGAATGAGCATATATAGACAATCCTTACATCATTAAAAAGCTTATAATTAATGTGCCTTTTTATACTTTATACTGCCTTTTTAGGTTTCTTCAAGATGCTCTCAAGAGCAACTATCAGGGAGCAAGCCATAAACTAATGTAAGCAGTTTAAATGTTAGATTAACAGGTTTGAAGACTCAGTATTACTACAGATTTGAGAACAACATGCCTCCAAATGAATTGTAGGTGAACAATGGCAGGAGAGAGATATGTCTCTATCTCCTGCCCATAAGCAGCATAAAGACATCTAGTTAGCCACACATAAATAAAAATATGGTGAACCTTAAACTGTTGTCCTTATAAGATGGATAATGGAGAGAACAAGAGTACAAGAAGTTCAATCTTTCATTGACTATAACAAGTCCTAGCTGTATCCTGCTATATGCAGTTAGATTGTGCCAGAAGAACATATTAAAGCTAATGAATGTACTAGAACACCTGATTATTTTTTTAGTGCCTCTGTAACTTTGAACAGTCACTAAATGAACTATTGTAAGTTGAGGTCTACCTGTACATACTAAATGAATGAAAAGATAGAAAGAGATGACAGCTGTAATCAAAACTACAAATCCAAAGACTAAAAATTTGAGAAAATATGCTGTAAGAAAAATGAAAGAAAAAAGATCAAGACCTTACAGAAAAGTTCTAAGGTCTGCAAGATGTGCCAATTATTCCATCCTAGATCAAACAATGCCCAGGGCATGTGGTATAAACCTATAAAGGCTTATCAAAGTACAAAAAAAGAAGACATTATAAAATATAAGAAATTATTTATATCATCAGTCCAAAGTCCATCTTGTACATAGTCTTATATCTGATAATAACTAGCTAAGTTAAACATATCTTTCTTTTTTATCTCAAAATCTGTACTCAAGGGAATATTGTCTGAAAATGAGAAGTAAGTATAATGGATTGATATACTTACTTTCCATTAATTGCACACTGTGTGAATATAAACCTAATATTTTCAAAAACCTTTTTGAATACCGAATTTACAACACTAACCCATATTTGAATAAAACAGAATTGATGAAAGCACACACACTTTTTTCAAGTGAGCCTTGACTCTTGATAACTGTCTGGACAAATACATGTAGATTTCTTAGCAATATTTGCAGAAGTTTAACGTTGCTATTTTCTAGGGCTGAGAGAGTGACTGGCCCAAAATCTCCCAGCCAGCTTTGTGCATGGTCTCTACTACACCAAACCGGCTCTCATATACATACTATTACACTATGTTGTAGTTTGGTTCACTTGTGAATCTTGCTCTATTCAGTTTAGACTCTATCAGGCTATTTATTGTTATTTTTAACAAAATGCATATCAGTTTGAATCTTATCTGCCCTTTGCTATCAAAAATTTACCAACAAAGGAACAAGAGAAACTATTCAATGAAGTCTACCATCTAATTTTTAAAAAAACCAAAACATTGTTCATTATCACAAACTGGTTTTATTGATTAAAAAGATGAATGGATCATTAAAAAAAATCAAACTTACCATTCTGTAACTGGCTTGGCAATAGTTTCAAAAATTTCATCTTGTTTTGATTCTTGATCAAATACTTTCTGAAATCTGAAAATTATAAATAATTGGTCATGCAAAATCTTAAAAAATATTTGATTCATTTCTTTTTTTTTAGTTTAAAAGTTTACATCATTGGATTTACATAATCCTGGACAATTTTCTCCTGTAGCTTTTTCCTCACTATGTTATTGTGCTACTGAATCCATAAAGGACTTTAAACACTACTGTTTACAAAATGTGTACAATAAAATATTGTGATAAAAATGTTACTGCTTAGAAAAAGCAAACTGTACTTTACTACTGTCATGGGGATCAACATTTCCAAAGGCCCACACATGAGCATGTTTAAGAAACACTAAAATAAAACAGAATATATAAACAGTGCAAACTATTTTCAGTTTTGTTCTCTGGAAGAGAAAAGCAACTATCAAAAGTTTAACAGCAAGTCAAATACTTTAAAAGTCTTGTGCCTTATTTCCATGATTGATGTTTTAGTATCTCTATAAACACTTCTTATAAATACATGTTTTAACTCTCTGCTCTCCCACCATTAAAAGAACCTATTTTGTTCTAGTGCAGCGGTTCTCAACCTGTGGGTCGCGATCCTTTTGGGGGTCAAATGACGCTTTCAAAGGGGTCGCCTAAGACCATCAGAAAACACATATTTCCGATGATCTTAGGAACCGAGACACCGCTCCCCTATCCGGCCGCTGCCGCCCACCTCCTCCTCCGCCGGCTCCTCCGCCTCCAGGGCGCCCTTCTCCGACGGCGCCTGCTCCTGCCGACGCAGCGCCATTGCACACACCCCTGACGCTGCCCTGGGCTGGCTCAGCTGCGTGGGCGGCTGGGCAGAGCCGATTCGGGTCTGGGCCGCTGCTGGCGCTGCCGCTGGGCTGCTCCGCCGCTGCTGCCGCTGCCGGCTGAGCTGAGCTGCGTCGCTGAGCCAGTCTCCACACCTCCTGGTTGCCCGGCCACGCTCTGCCACGGCTGCCCTCCGCGCTGCGCAGGAGCCTCCCCCGTTCTGCCCGGCCTGCCTCCCTCGCCTTCGGAGGCCGCTTCAACCCTCTGGCGCCTGGCGCAGCCGTGGAGCTGCCAGGCAGGAGCGGCTCCTTCCTGGCTCACCGGGCTCTGGGCCTCAAAAGCAGCCAGAGGGCAGGGAAGGGGATGAGGTGGTGGCAATGACCGCATGTGTGTCGGAGGCCTGCCGGCCTGGCCGGGAGGGGAGAAGCGGCACTTTCTGAGCAGGAGCTGGTACTCTGGCCGCGCCCCTCTCACATGCAAAGGGCTGCGCGGTGTGGAAAGGGGCTCCCGCAACTCTGCCACTGCGATGGCGCTCAGGAGGCTGGAGGGGTGGGCAGATCCCAGGAGGGCGGCTGGGAGAGGGCAAGAAGTGCTGGGATGAGGATGGGGGGCTCCAGGTTGGTGGGTGTAAGAGGGCAGTCGGCGGCTCCGAGGCATGCAGATCCTCCGCGCACCTTCTGAGGTCCCGGATGTGCCGCTGCTTGGCTCTCCACCAGAGCCTCCCCCCTCCCCGGGCAATTGTGTGAAGCTGTTTGTGCGTTCTTGGCAGCGCCTTCCCCTTTCAATCTCCTTCCTTCTCCATCTCCTTCCTTTTCCCTTCAATCTTCCTTCCTTCCTTCCTTCCATCTCCATCTCCATCCCTTCCCCTTCAATCTCTCTCTCCTTCCTTCCTTCCCCCTTCAATCTCCTTCCTTCTCCATCTCCTTCCTTTCCCCTTCAATCTCTCTCTCCTTCCTTCCTTCCTTCCTTCCCCTTTTAATCTCCTTTCTTGTCCATCTCCTTCCTTTTCCCTTCAATCTTCCTTCCTTCCCCTTCCCTCCCTCCCAACATTTTTGAGCAAGGAACAATAAGCTTCTCCAGCGAGCATTGATATACTGTTTTTGTGATTAATCACTATGCTTTAATTATGTTCAATTCATAACAATGAAAATACACCCTGCATATCAGATATTTACATTACGATTCATAACAGTAGCAAAATTACAGTTATGAAGTAGCAACGAAAATAATTTTATGGTTGGGCGTCACTACAACATGAAGAACTGTATTAAAGGGTCGCGGCATTAGGAAGGTTGAGAATCACTGCTCTAGTACAAATGACTTAAAAGTATTCTGTTGATCATTACAGTGGACCAAAGAGTCCTGTGCTACATTAAAGACTGGTTTTATTTAATCACTAGGCACCTGTAGAACCTACTCCACTTCACTGAAAGTGCTGAGAAAACATTTTTTTATTCAGTTGGGAAGGTGAGAGAGAAGAAGGAAAAGGGAATAGATGGTAATGCTTATATTAAAATTTGGGCCACCAATAAGATGTTTACAGACTCTTTTTTCTTTCATGTAAAACAAATGAAAATAAAATCAAAATTAATTTTCTTTTCCAGGAGAAAAGAATGAGACATATCTTTCCTGCCATAGAACCAGATGAAAATAATCCAATTTTCAGTGACAGTAGTAGTGGAATGAGGCAGGGAGGAAGGGAGAGAAGAGAATATTAAGGGGAAGGAATCTGAATATACAAGTATCACTGTGGGCTGGAGATACGTGAGTTGGGCTGAACATCCATGTGCAAGTTGTCTCCATATTCCTTCAATTAGAAACTGTAGAAACTGCCATATTCATGGCCATGCAACTATGTATTTTAAGTCAAGGAACTCCTCCTCTGAAATTGAATCTCACCCCCTCTTGGTATGCTATGGGTCCTGTTAGTCTTCAAAAAAACTGGTGAAAACTTTTTTTATTGTTTTTTCAAGCCAGGAAAGCTGGGTTATGATTTGAAATATTGAGTTTATTTTGATTGTTTTTGATCTCTGTTTAGTATTATAATATACATGTTCTGTGTGCATGAAAAAGTAATGTACTTCTGTTTGCTTTTCATCTCAATTACCTATTAGGGAATTATAGTTCATCCATATTTTTACAGACATGTTAAATAAATAACTAAATAATAAATACATACATACATACATATAAAAAGTTATGCACTAGCTCAGAGGTCCCCAATCTTTTGGGCACCAGGGACCGGTTCCGTAGAGAAAGGTTTTTCCATGGACCGGAGAGTGCGTGGTTTTGTGTGCTGCCTGCATCCCACGGATGGGGCTTTGCTTGTTTGTGTGGCCCAGTTGCTGGCATGCCACGGACCGGTACCGGTCCATGGACCGGGGGTTGGGGACCCCTGCACTAGCTGATTAGAAGTTCACTTTTAAGCTACTAATATTGATGCCTCATACCTTAAAATCAGCATTTAATATTAACAAAACAGACCTGCTTTTTCAGTGAAACATGCTGTTCCTCTTTTTTTTTTACTCACCTCCCTTATCCCCAATTTTTTCTGAATGTTTTTACCTTTTCCTCCTCTGTGAGGGAGTGAAATTGGGGTTGTCTACCCTTTTCAAAAGTAGCTGTACCCATGCAGAAAGCTTTGCCCCCCCCCCCTCCTCAGGCATTCATTCATTTCCATTTCCTACTCATAGGCATTCAAGCTGGTGTTCCAGCTGCCTGGCTAACTGTGCCACACCCTGGTATTTTCACATACACACTGACTGACGTCCAGAGACAGCCTTGCCCTACCCAGTCTTTTGAGTTTATAAAAGCAAATGTTAAGGCAGAGTGTGAGAGTGGTGCGTGTAGCAGGAAAGGTGAATGCTGGAAGCAGAGATTGGCAGCTATTATAAGAAGGCAAAAAGACTTATCCTGGTGGGATTCCTGCCTGAGTTTTGCTGGGAGCCCAGTAGCAACTAGAAGAACAACCATACTGAAACAGTATCTTATGCCAACTAGCGCAAGAATGTTTGAAAAAAGGCAAAGACTGTATGTTACTTTGTAAAGAATTTGAGACTTTAGTTTGAAATGAGTATATTAAGAAAATAAGTATTAAAGGTCTATTAAAGACATACTTATTTGGCAACAACACCTTGCAAAACCTAAAAGGGTGGAGTTGACCTAGAGAATAAATAACCTGTTGTTGGGTAAGGTGAGTGTTGCAATAAAATATTTTGTATAGATGTGCTATGCTATCCTTGGACAGCAAAGAACCTCACAGCCTCTCCAAGAGAATTCTGAGAAGAAGAGCAGCAGAATAAAGAAAAAATATGTTCCAACAGTAATTTCCATACCACTATTAGATGTACAAAATGGGTTATAAATAAACATATTTCATATCCAAATCCATCAGATTTATTTTCCAATAAAGGCACACTGGATTGGACATTAAAAAATAGCTTTTCACAATCTTTTCTGTTTTGTCAAAGCTATAAGCATTATAATGACACTTCATCATCATATCAAAGTGATAATACTGACACTGAATTGGAAGAAAAAACAAAAACAATCTGAATGCAGTTACTTTAAGAAAATTTTTTAACATGCTGTAACAGAAACCTTATGAAGGAACTTCATGGTACCTATTAAGAAAGATGTTAAAAGTTTGTTGTTGGGTATGTAGCCCTATTTGGAACATATTTATAGGATGGCAACATAATCAGAAGCATGTCCTATAAGAAAAAATTGAAGGAATCGAACATCTGAAGAAAATAGTCTTCAGGAAAGTCAAGCAGGATGTTAGCCATTGACAAATATCTGAAGGATACAATAGATTGATGAAAGAGAAAAATTGTTTTCAGTTGATCACGGGAGAAGTATCTCCTGTGATCGGTATCAAAATTAACAGAACAGTCCATTTTTCACAGGAGACTAGACTACATTAGTCAGCAGACTTTGTTTACAGGTAATCCTTGACTTACAACTCAAACTGAGTCCATAACTTCAGTTGTAAGCTGAGTGGATATTGGAACTTCAAATCTAGATCATGAGTCCCATTTCTGGAGGCCAGCCATAACTCAAGGACTACTTGTATTGATTTTGCTTTATTTTATTCATTCAGAAGTAGAAATGTGCTTTAATTGATTTTTCTGTTATAAACAACATAAACATGTAATGTTCACTAACTTTTTATGTAAAATGGTTTTATACAGTTTGTACTTAGAGTGAAATTTAAACTACATAACATTCTGAAAGTTTTAGAAATGTAAAACAATATTTTAAAAATTCATAAATAAAAACAGTAAGTCATTTCAAAATGAGATGGTCAGTAAATAAATTTAATAAATAAAACAAAGACATGGAACTATATGATAAAATTATGAAATATTTTTATAATAATGTGCAAACAACCAAAATATGAAAGTTACTTACTTAAACTTATAGTTTTCTCGTTTGTTATTGACAAATCCATCTGACAAATCGCGTGGTACAATAATCTCCAGATCAAATGCTGATGTCTCAATTTCATCAATTGAATATATCTACGAAATACATGTACATCTTTTGAAAATATTTCTATTAATTAATGTAAACATTCCATGATTTAGTTTATATTTAGGTAGGATAATTTTTAATAGGAATAAATAGATAGATAGATAGATAGATAGACAGACAGACAGACAGACAGACAGACACAAGCAATTCTCATAACACATGTACAAGAGATCTACTCTAGGTAAAATAATGCCTAAAATATGGGAATGAGTTAAATCCTATATGAAAAACATGCATACTATTCCATATAATTTACCGTAAAATAGCTAATAGCTAATTTGACATTTGTTAGAAATAACCACTTCATTTAAGTAGTATATACTTTTGAGTAACTATGAATAAGATTCCAAGTTTTAATTTATTTAGATTCAATTTAGTTTAAGTATGGCAAGCAATTTCAAAGTTATGGCAACCAAAATAATTCCATTTCATCACACTTCAAAATCCCAACCATAAGTTTACTGTAGCAAAATGAGTACAGAATCTTACGACTCTTTAAAGTATTTCTAATTCAATGACCTTCAGTACTTGTTATGCACTTAGTCCTGCATTTCTCCCCTTTTCAAATAGTAAACAATAATAAAACTGGTGAAAAAGATGGAATAATTATAAATATGGAGATGTTATTTCCTATCACTTCACAAATAAACTGAAAGACTGAGTAATGAAAGCTCCAAACATGCTTTGTTATAATTTATTTATTTATTTATGAGACTTATATACCGCTTTAAGTGCAAGCACTCTCTAAGCGGTGTACACCAGTAAGCAATGTATATATATATATTTACATTGCCCCCAACAATCTGGGTCCTCATTTTACCTACCCTGGAAGGATGGAAGGCTGAGTCAACCTTGAGCCGGGGAGATTTGAACCGCTGACCTGCTGAACACAGTCAGCTAAAGTGGCCTGCAGTACTGCACTCTAACTGCTGCGCCACCTCGGCTCTTGACTTATTAGGGTCTTTTTTAATGAAATGCTTTATAACCCTTTATTAAAGTTCTTTACTGATTTTTTTTTTAAAAAGTAGCAGCAACGTCTGATTGCATTTAGCAATCTTCTCCCAGCCTATCATTTGAAGAAGCAGCAATAAAAGCTTATTTTGTTCCTAATAATTAAGAGATTTGGGTTTTAGAATACCAAGACAAAAACGGTTAATCGTGTTTGGCCTCTCAACATTTAGACCAGTGGTTCTCAACCTTTTTAATGCCGCGACCCCCAACCGGTCATAAGTCGAGGACTACTCAACTGGTCATAAGTCGAGGACTACTCAACTGGTGCAGCACCGTTTGCAGAATGGGACTTTTGGCGGGCTCAGCAGGGCAGAGACAGCCTGGACAATTCCTATTGGCTTTGAAAGCCAATAGAATTAGACTCTATTCAAGAGAGTCTATTCTATTGGCTTTCAAAAGCCAATAGAATAAAAGGGAGTAGCACAGCTAAGGAAAAGGGGAAAAAAATGACGGACTGCGTTGTTTGGCGACCCCCATGAAATGGTCGTTCGACCCCAAATGGGGTCCCGACCCACAGGTTGAGAACCACTGATTTAGACAATTTCTAAATAAATACCTCTTTCACTTTGCTTTCAGTTGGGAAATGACTGTAGCACTTACTCTATTTGTCAGTTTTAGCTGTTTTTTAAAAATTATTATTTGTAGAGATTGTTCATGTTGTTAGCCTCCCTGAAAGCTCACCAGAGTAGAAAGCAGAATTAAAAAAAAAATAATAGGCACATTATTAAATTAACATGGGCGTCTGAGCCTGCAGTCCAGCTTCAAATTTAGCCATACATTTTCTGAACAACCAGGTCCTCGTCTTCTTGGGGAAGAGTTATATGTTCTGTGTGAGGTCCTGCTTACCTTCTCCACTCCATCTTCCACAAAAAGCTTTCCCTCTCTCTTCCCCCCTCATTTCATCCATCACCTTCAGGCAAGGTGCACTCTACTCAAATACTGTATTTCTCAACCTTGGAAATTTTGACGTATAGATTTCATCTTAGGTCATGCTGGCCCTCACGTTGGCTGGAAAATTCTGGCAGATGAAGTCCACACATCTTAAACTTGCCAAGCTTAATGATCCCTGCTCTGATCCCCACGCATGTTCAATATTTCGCAGTGTCCTATGGAGATTCTCAATCATCCTGGTCATGGCTTTTAAAGCACCTTTGGGACAATATTTCGGAGCTTCTACCCTCCCCAACACCGTGTCCTGCCGAGCCTGATGCATTCTGTGCTTCACCTACCCCGGGAGTCTGCCTTTTGCCCAAAGGTTTCACCCGGGCGTAAATCTGGATCGTCTGCTTCACCATCTCCGTGAATCAAGTTCGCAGTGGTCACGAAACAAGCGAGCCAGGGGCAAGGCCGGCCCTAGCAACGGTAACCAATGAACACTACCCGTCGTGCCTTGCGATACAGCGGCCGGTTGGGGAAACGCCCTCGCGCACGTGGGAAGCTGAGCTTCCTCAGTTAATCGGTTTGAATACTAAGTAGGAGAGAGACAGAGAGAGAGAGTCGCGTTTGCTTGAGAAAGGGACGTGTGTGTGTTTTTCGTTACTTAAAGAAACGTTTCGTAACGATGCTGGTCGTTAGCAATTTTTTTTTCTTTTAGTCACAAACAGCATGTCCTGAAATGGAGGGTGGACGTCAATTTAAAAACAAAACAAAAACGATGGCTGCTGTGTTAGCAATGGCTAGTTGAAACTAAGCTCCTGCTTAATCAGATAACTCCTAGGACCTAGGTAATTGGAGGATTTGGGATCAGAAAGGTGGTCGGAAGACGATGTAGTGATTCTACTCTGAGCTCCAAGCTCAAAAGTGGCCTCTGAAAGGAGTCTGAGCTTCAAATAATATCCTTATTACATAGGGATTAAAAGAAATGTGGATGTTTAGTGCTGTCTTAAGGAACTATTCATTCCAACTGCATTCGTGGAAACTTTATTTATTCTATTTTTAAGATTATTGCTTATGCCCTGCATATAGCTTCCTGGTACATTTATGGAATAAATCAAAATTGCTTAGGTTCACACAATACCAGACCTGCCTCTAGTATTCTTTGTGTCATTTCATTCATTATCTTTTTTCCTAGTTAATGTTTTTTTTAAAAAAAAATTGTGAGGAGCATATTGATTTCAATTTTTTTCACTGTCTCAAAGAACCAATGTTTATTGTGTGCTATTACTGTACCCATCTCTTGTGTTTAGTGGTTTTGTGGAACATAAAAAATGTTCTTCAAGAATACCAGACTTGTTTATTTTTTGAACATGAAACTCATATATGTTTTTATGTAAAAGTTGAGCTGCTCAAATTCCAAATTTCCTAGGACAATAGTAACTTTGATTGTCTTCATAATTTGTACCAGAATAAAAACTATATTTAAGCATGTAGCTTAACTGCTTTGTCTAACTGTTTAAATAACAGTTTTAATATTAATAATTAAGTATTATAATATTACAGTTATTTCATACAGCGAAAGTGCTATATGCTTATATGTTGTATTTTAATATAGTACTATAGGTAGAGCCAACTTTGGGCAGTGGTTCAGTCATCAATAGATTGTGGGGAGTGTGTGAATTCTAGGCCTACATTAGGCCCAAAGCCAGCTGGACCAGTCACTTTCTCTCAGCAATGAGAAGAAGGCAATGGCAAACTATTTCCCCAAAACTTTGCCAAGAAAACTGGCTGAGGCGATTGGAATTGACACTGATTTGAGGATGCAAAAGGGAAAAAAAGGTATATGATAAAAATCCTAACGGTAAGAATATGCTTTCTTTTCAGATCCATATTACAGTTATGTATCAAACTTATATGCTGCCCATCTTGTCAAAGGTAACTCTAGGTAGCTTACAGACATTGTATAAAATACAATATAAAACATTAAAACTAATTAAAATAAAACTAAGCAAGATTGAGAGAGAGACGGAGAGCAAAGTGTGCACAGGGAGGAGGTGGGGTGTTCTCTACTCTATTAACCACTTTCAATGTGCCATACCCACATTAGGGCTCCAGGCTAGTTGGCATAGCCATGCCTTCCAGCCTTTCAGAAGGCCAAAAGGGTGGGAATAAATCTGATGTGTGGGGGGAGAGAATGAGATGTTCCAGAGGGCAGGAGTCATGGCAGAAAAGGATTTTTTGTGATTCTTTTTCAGTATCTCAAATATGAACTGCAAAAATTCTTACTTCTAACTGCTTCTTCAAGTATTCAAGTGTCTTTGTAGTCTAGATCTGGCAGCTCTTTGATTACCCGCCCAGGTATTTTATATATTTATTTATTCGTTTATTTGCTTCTCTGAGTACTTCTATGAAGAAGGTATGGAAAGAGGATTTGTTCAATATAATCTTAAATGGTTTTAAGATAATTTAACTCCAGTTTATCATAGTCCAACACAATATGATAAGATGTGAACCGTGATTCAATAACAAATAAATAGCGACTGGATTTTCATAGTAAATAAAATTGAAAATAAGTCACGTCCATGCCTCAACATATATATCTATCAGTAAATTATTTGGTGAACTATGACATAAAAAGAGTGAGATTAATTGGGTAATTAATATTTTTTATTTCATTCAGCACACATTTAACTAAACTATTTCAGGCAATTAGGTTACATAAATTCACATGCTACACTATGCTTTGGCTCAGAGAAATAAACCAGATTGTGGTTGTTAACTGTGAATCTAAATCCAGAGACCTTTTAAGACAATTTGTGAATTTGCAGGTGTGGTAATCTTTGTATCCTAGAATGGTATTAAATTTTGAATTAATCCAACTGACTACAAGGATGCTCAAAGCCAAATTGGAAAATTGCTTCATTGTTTTAAGATCTTGGTAGTTTGCAGTAACATACCTACCGTACTTTGATATTATTTAGTGTCTCTCCCAAATATTTTCTGAAGGGGAATTCTTTATCTGGCCCTAGAAGAAAATCCTCTGTTAGCTCACAATCACATAATGTAATGCACCATGTTTTAATCTACAAGAGTTTTAATCTGATAATCCTGCCATGATGGTGGTGCACAACTCGATAGGATATTAAAAAAAAAACATTGAATCCCAGGCTCTCTTTATTAAAAACATTTTTATCAAAAATATTCTCTCTATCAGGAAGCTATTAACTATGTTTCTGTATTAATGACCATTAGTCCTTAATTTCAAACTAGAATCTACCTTCCTTTCTTTTACCAAAGTTCAAAATATGTATGGAAAATGCCAAACAGATGGCAGAATCACTTAGGCATACAGATACATTCCTTGGAGGATTTTTTTTTAAAAAAAGAATTCTCCAAGTCAAAATTGATTCTGGATGTGATTGTGTAGTTTTGTTGACAGCAATTTGCCCTTTGTCATTCCAAAATTTAATTTAAAATTTATTCTAAAAATTGGTTCCTCATAATTTAGAAATAAATATGTTTTTACTAATGTATATAACATATTTCTTGGTCCATAAAAGGAATGGTTATTCTATATCAACAAAACATGTGGATGATTACTAGTCTCAAATGTGCAAATTAAGGGCTATGAGAATATTAAGGCAACTGTTTTGTTTTTTAAAAAAATTCTGTTTCATGAATAAATTTGCTAATTTTAGAAAATCCAACAAATGAGATGTTCAGCTCTCCTTACTGTTCTTTTTCTACAATTAACATCATTGTGTTGTGCTTTTATAGAATTATATTAAATTGCTACTAGAACCAATAGTCACCAATTGATCAATGCATTGTGAGTGTATTCATTATTTCAAACAGGATTACAAAAGCTAGTGCAGTAGTTTGTTACAATATGTCATAGCAAGCATTTGCTGTGAAGCAGTGCTAAGAAACTGAGAAATCTGGCATTCAGTTTCATGGATGACTACAAGTTCTATAGACCTAACAGAAAATAGAATTTCTCTTTCACAATTCCATATATAAATGTGTTCTAAAAAATATACTTATGTATATTTTTCTCCATAATCACAGTGTTCCACTTATTAGCCATTGTAGCTGTCCTTTTCTGTTTTTGGAAGAGGAGCAAGATTGCACATGATAATCTGAATGTAGATATTGCATAAATTTATGTTTTTCATAATACTCCTGTTAACATTCATAAGTCTCCATGTGGCATATATTAAACCATAATTCATCTCCAATGCATATAAAACTGTTTAATGAAGACTGGCTTGAAAGCTTATTGTCTTTGTGTCCAAATCTACTCAGCTTGCTTTTTCCTGGGAGCTTTGCCATATTCCCTTTGCCCTCACTTGTTGATATTGTTTGGAGTCAAAACTTAGAAATATCCACAATTCAAAAAGGAATCAAATAAACTGTTGTGTTCTCTGGATCCTAATGGGCAGCAAATGGAAGCATGAGCTATAAAGCTGCAAAGAAATAAAAACATTTAAACCAGAAAGAAATTATCAGGGAAATAATTTAGGGGATTGTTAACAATTCTTCCTTCACAAAAGAATTATGATACTACAAAGGCTTCTTGTATGTTCTGGCATGAAAACTTTCTTATAATAATTCTAAATGTAGTAAATGGTATTTAATGATCTGAAAAGGCTGTAGAGGATACAATAAAGCTTAGAGCACATTATGAGATGAAAAAGCTGATAAATTCCCACCACCAGTATGTACATTTTTTGATAGTATCTACAAATGAAAATATTTGTCAGTTCTAATTTTATTGCACTTTTCATTTTTATAACTGAGCTTCTTGCCTTTTGTTTCTATGTAAACTTGCAATATTTAAACATGCACAAAATTTGACATTTCTAATAACATATTGTATTGCAAATGTTAATATATGCACTTTAAGCAACTGTCTCTTATACCTATCTGCATTTTTTGAGTTGTAAACTACCAACTGCATGCACTGACATACAGTTACGTATTGATAATAGCTTGTGTATAAATAGGAAAAATATATTTAAAAAATGAACTGAATGACTAGATTCACACAGTGTGCTAAGCCATGGTATGTTTAACCTTAAATACAGTAACTGCAACATGCAAAGTCAAAACCAAGCCAACAACTGTGTGACTTAATGCAATGTAAAAATCCAGCCAATGACAGCCTTATGTGATATACCTGGATCCTAAAACATGCCAAGATTTCAAGTGTTATACCCTTCCTCTACAAATGGACCCCAAAATAAGAACATAAAATATCTCATTCCAAAAGGTCATAGATATTAAAATAAAAGCCCAAATTATATAATTGAATGCATTGAAGCCATCATTAGGCGGTAACCTCAATTTGGTCAAGGATATCCAAAGAATTTTCACCTGCCATAAAAATGTTTCCATTAGTTTATTAATTAATATATCTCATAGGAATTAACATTGGAATTTTAAAATATATATTAATATCAAGGTAATATTTTGATAACATTAATCTTCC